ATTCTAATGCAAAGTTGTAACACCAGAGCAAATTACAAATAGCACCTGTGCTGTCAAAATTTGGTCTGTCTTGACTTTCTGTGATGCCATTTTCATGTAAATTATTAATATTAAGTAACAAAATGATTTCTTGTACAATTTGGTGTATACACCAAATTGCACAAGAAATCATTTTGTTTACTTATTAATAAATAAGCACATGTAAATTTTTCAAAGACTACAAACTGCACTCGCCTTATGGGTTCAATTAGTAATGAATTACGTACTGATACAGATTATAATTTACTGCACGAACAATCTTCCATAGACGATAAGAAATCATCTTGATCAGCACACCAACTATAGAACTAATGACCGCTTATTGCTTAATACTTTTAACCAGTGTATGTCCATCAATGATTTAAGTATTTTAGGGTTGTTCTATCCATTTATTTTGTTTCTACAGCCAAATCTTCAGTGGTCTCCATTCAAGCAATACCATCAGCTTAACAGAACTGCAACAAGAATTGACATCAACCTAGCTAAATCTGTGATTGATAATACTTTTCCTGATAAAGAACTTGACGATGAAATAGAATGCAAGCACCAGGAAGCACTTGTCAGTGTCCCTTGCTTGGCAAAACTTGTTTGTAACAATGAACCTCTTTCTTTGGGGAAGAATCTTACTACCTCTGAATATACTTGTGGAAATCTAGCAAACAGAGAGAGTGTTTGTTTATGGGAAATTTTGCAAAGCAGCTACTTTCGAAAGAAAACTATTCAAGCTGCTGAGATGACATGGCGGAGGAACTTTTTGTATCTGTTTACCTTGGGAACAGAAGGAGGATCAAGGTTTGGGAAAGGTTCTACATGGGATGTCATAAAAGATCTGAATGATAAGCATCCTAATTGCTATTGTGGTTTAGGAAAGCCACAAAATGGATTTTATGTCTCTTCAAATGGACTTGTGTTCTCAAGTGAGATTGAGGTACAAAGCTCACCAGTTTTATTATGCGTAGTTATATCTTGCAGTAAAACTTCCTATTTGCAAACACCCCTCATTAGGGGCTAATTTACAAAAATACCAAAAGTTTTCACACCAATCATTATTGTTAAACCCAAGCTTAATTACAATTATAATGATTTCTCTAAGAGATGACTTTTCAGAATCTTCAATATATTTTTCCTTCAAACACCCACAAGGCAATCTTCTGTGTGTCACCAAGACAGGAAGTATATAATTTATTTCTTAACCCTTTACACCCACAGTCATCAATATGCATATTCTCCATACTGATCTCCATACATTTCTTAAGGTGCTGACAAGGAGAATTTGTTCAACAATCAAGAGCTTCTTTTAGTTGGTGATCATTCCTTTATCTCATGACCCTAATGCATGTTTTAGGGGTGATATTATTCAGAGAAATTAGATGTTAGTCGCTTTTAGGGGGCAAAGGGGTCAACAACTTATTGAGAGTACCATGCATCTAAACAGACACTTTTATTTGCAATAGAAATTACCAGACAGGTTTTATGATTGAATTAGACTTACCAAAGCTAAAACCACAAACCAAACTTGTATGCACCATCCAATGTGCCTTATGATATGGCTTATTGTAGCACAGGTATGGAAATGTTTTCACAACTCAGGCCCTGGTTGTTCAAAGGTCGGATAATGCCATCCCATGGAGAGCAAAACAGGCTGCTCTATCCACCAGATAAAGATTCATCCATTGGATAGAGTTATCCAATCTTTGAACAACTGGGGCCTGGGGCCCGTTTCTCGAAAGTCCCGGTAACTTAACGGGCCCATAAAGCTGTTCTGTTTTCATTCAAGATGGGGATTTCAAAAGTTTTGAAAATGATAAAATAAAGCTATCAACCAAAGAAACTAAAGGGACTGGTTTGGGTGCCAGAACCTCCTCTCCTGTCCTTTAAATTTTGATTTTAAAACATGGCTTCGGGCACATTAAGTTACTGGGAATTTTGAGAAACGGACCCCAGGCCTGGTACTTAATTGACACTTGAAATGATTACTACTGACAGTAATTATTTTCATAGAAAAAAGTGAAACAAATTCTCCTTGTCAGCACCTTAGAATAATGTGTAGAGAACATATTGAATACCCTTTAATCTGTACCTCTTCCAAGTAACCACTTCCTGAACCTTTCAAGAGATTTAGGGAGGTTTGTCTTGATGAGAAAATTCATCAATTCCAAACTTTTACGCATGAAAAGTTTTAATAAATATTTTTGAATAATTGTAGGCACTTTTGTTTTTCAGCTAAAGAGGTTCATAGCAAAAATGGCTGAAATAGAAGAACGACTAAAACATGAAATGTGTGTGATAGAAGATCAACGCAACAAATTGAAGGTGATATTTATTATTCGCTCATGACACTTTTGCATCAATCAGTCAATCAGTTGAAAGCTTCAACATCCCCAACCCCCCCCCCTCCCAATGGGCAACTCCTGGGCATTTGAATATTTGAACTAAATGTTCAACTCAAAGGTTCAGCTAAATTGAGGATTGTTTAGGGTGCAGTTTTGTTAAACAAAGGAAACATTTTGTTTAAATAATCAGACCCAAGTAGGGCTTGACACTGACAGTAGCCAAGTAGCCACAGACCAGTAGAAATTCAGTTTTGGCCAGTGGTTTTCAGTTTGCACTGACCATTATGTGGCTAGTAAACAAACCAAAATTCTTGCAACATCTAAGATGTCACAGCTGTCTAGCCACTTGGCTAGTGAGTTGAAAAGTTAATGTCGAGCCCTGCCAAGAATGACCAGCATCTTAATTCTCCTTACAATTATAATACTGCTGAGTCATTCATGAAGATTATGAGAACAAAGCAAATGATCACCAACATAAGAAGCTTGGA